CTCAGATCACACAGGATCAAAGTGGTGAATTAAAATTGCAGACACTTTATGGTGAAACAAGAATATGTAAAGACATAAAACTAATAAAGAAATGTAGCTATTCTGCTTTTCAAGCTCATAAACCTAGGAGACAGCAATTGCTTTATGTGCTCCAAAACAACATTTTAAGTGTCATTTATTCCCAAGCACTTAATCTCTATTTCACTTCAGTCATCTTCAATCACCTCCAGGGTGCGGTGACTAGTGTTGTTTCGAATTAAGAAATAAATTATCTGAACGCCCAGTTCCTTTCTCAAGGGAGGCTTGATATTTGTTCCACAGCTTATGTATTACTATGATATTGTCTTTACAGACACACACAATTTAAAATTCAACATTATGTGATGATATCAATCTAGTGTTATGGTTACCATAGTAATTACTCTGTGCAGGGTATTACATGTTTAAAATCCAACAGATTTTGAAAGTCTCTTATTTTTCACCTCCTTCCCATCACCTGGACCATGACCATGTTGTCTCCTGCACGCATGACAGTCTTGTTAGTTTGCTCATAGATCAGACTGGCATCACCAATGGGAAGGAAAGGAAACAGAAGGAAATTCAAGAAAAAAATTCTATTCAAGAAGTCTTAAATTAAGGTACAAAAAGCATGTACTGCATCAGCAGCAGTTGCAGCAAGACAAGAAAATGCATCCCATTTTCATTTGATTAAGATGGCCTTGTTTTAACATGTTATCTTACCTCTTTCCTGCCCTTTCCCAGTTACATTATCAGCTAGTCATTGGAGTAGACAGAATGCTGCTCCAAGATTGTTTTGTGCTAACCTTCAGTTTGGCAGCCTGTCCAAAATGATTACTTGATCTAGATGCATAAACCAAGGACTGAATTCAGACCTAACAGCCAAATGTTCCTGTTCACTTGTCTCTGTAAGCTGTAGATGTCCAAGTTTGGACAAACAGCAGCTGTGGTATTCTTTACACATTCTTTACAGCTCCAGTGCATTGTTTCCCACCTTAAAGTCACATTCTTAAATTCCACAAAAATTATTTCAAACAAGTCACACTGCATCCAAGTTCCTGGTAGAACTAGAAGCCCCACTGAATGCTGGTTTATACCGAGCAGTTTATCCTCACGTAGCTCTTTCATTGTTACAGCACTTGTTAAGAAACAGCTGATTTTAGAGCTTTTTCCCAGGGTTTAAAGTATTTGGGATAAGAAAACCTCAAGGCATCCTGCTTAAGATTTTCCCATTTTAAAACAAAGCTCATATATTGTTTATCCGTGGACAGAGCAACTTCTAAAGCAAACACCAAGCTGTTTGTTCTATCACTCTATAGAATACTGGAGTCTTCAAATACAGTCATCTTTCATCCTATATAAAACAGAGTCCTGATTCACAAGTTCTCATACTACACAAATCTTTACTAACACCCACAATCTTTAAAGCCTGTCAACAATATTGGCATCATTCAAGGCAAAGACTAAATAGTCCATTCTTTTATTTTAATAGAGTAGAATAAGAGCTTTAGAGAGGATTTTAGGATTATGTTAAAGACTTAATGCATAATGGAATTTTGCTGCCATTTTCCTTCCCAAAGTGAAAGTTTGTTTTGATGTTTAAATACATTTAGGAGTAGACAGTTTCATTCTTAAATGCCCCCACATCTACAAAATCAAGGAGTGCACACCACACAGCACTTTGAACACAATGCGAATAATAGAATTCATGTCACTGTACTTATACACCCAATCTGTTCATTAGCATGGCAGAAGCACAAATGAGTTACTAGGGGAGAAGCATGCTATTTTGTAATTAAGGTAATTTGTTTTTGAGGGGGAGAAGACAAGTGGAAGAGCTCAGTAACATGCAATGAAACTCTTAACTGCTACCCTAGAAAAGGCAACAACAATCTGACCTCTCCTAAAATTAAGAGTTTACTTTGCATCTGTTTTTCCACATTAAATGCCTTTTCTCCCTATATTCCCTAAGAGGGAATTTTAAGTCAGATGTAGAACATGTTCTCCTGATACAGAAGTTAGTTTACATTTGTCTTAGTCGCTGTATAATACTAGAAGCACACTACATTTTCTGTTGAAAATTTATGTAAACTAATAGTTAAAACCTGCAACAGACAATTACACATTTTCACCTTTTCAACATGAAGATGTAAGCAGAGAGGTTTTTAATAATGCAAACTGCATAAGCACAAATCTTAAGAACCTGATTTTCATAAACCTGATCAGTCTTACTCATGCCATTTAAGAGCTGCATCAGGAATCTCTAAACTGAACAGGATTTCAGTGATAGGTCTTCAGCGGTGTTACAAAGCCCTCATTTGCAAGCACTTCCCCACAAATTCCTTTGACAGTGTTACAGTAATTGAGAAAAAGATGAAGACAGTACCAAAACCCTTATCTTCTACATTTCATAACCCACATAACAAAATGATTGAGATAATTTTCCATCTAAAAATAAGTCTATACTTTTTTACTATCATTAGTAGCGCAAGATGTATATGTAAGCCTGGTTGAAGTTTATTTAACTGTAAAATTAAACCTTCTTTTTCTTACTGAGATGTATATTCTCTCCTCCATGATCAGATTACTCTGTGTTATTAAAGCAAGTAACAGCAAGAAGCACACTCATAAAAGAGCTCTTTTCCAAAGGTCAGCACACTGCAGCAAGACACGGATCTTGCAGGAGGAGGGATGGCTGTTCCCATCCTTAGAAGAATTCCACAAACGTTCTGTTTTTAGCAGCAGCATGCCAGAGAAGCCCACCTCCATTGTCAAGGCAAAAGCTTTTGATGCATACAAAGACTGTTGAAGTTCGCCTGAAACCCTACCCTGATTTTCAGTTTCAAAGACAGGCTGAGAAGAAGTACAGGCTTGTTTAGGATGCTTCTTAAATGCTTAAAAACCTGTGTTTTCTCACAGACACGCTCCTCCGTTCTTAGACATGCACAGATTGTTTGGGTTGTGAAAAGTACAAAGAGACCTCGATAAGCAATCTTGCTCCTCTGTTTACATACACTGGTATCGCTTAGTTTTAGAGGGATGAAAAGTGTCTTGCAGACTGCAGGAATAGAGTATAATGGAACATTTTACAAACACACCCTGAAGGAACAACTACTTTGCGTTTCAACTTGCCCATCAGATTATTTTCCTCCTTTCCCTTTTGGCAAGGCTAGCAGACACTTCCGTTCGGGCTTGTAAGAGATAATCCTCAGAAAAAGACTGTTCAACTGCTGGGAGAGCATGAACCAGCCCTCAAAATGCACTGACCTCTAGAAGGGACTGCTGTCTTCTGGCTCGCAGGAGGGAGCGAAGTGGTGATTTTATGGTCATTTAAACTATGAAAAAATTTGAAGTTAAACATCAGTAAGGCAAGAAGTCAGCCACTCTGCATCAGGAATTCGCCTTATAAGTCTTCTACTCCCCTAAATGCTGATGTTGTAAAAACAGTTAAATCATGTCTTCTCGTTTCCAACTTCTCTTCCTTTTGACAGCAAACCATGGATGGTTTCAGGATCTTACTTAAATTAATTGGTTTATAACCTACAGCCACGAAGACGTCTCTTTTGAGCTCAGAATCCCTAAACATAGTTGAGAAGCAAGCTATTTAAAACCCAAAGCATACAATTAGGGACCTATTCCTATCTCAGAAGAAGTTCCTGCTGGCAGGTGCCTGATCTCAGCACAAAATCTGCTTAACCAGGGACGGCTTCCACAGGCACCTTTCCTTACAGCAGAGCAGCAAGAAGCAGCGTGTGGCGGCGTGAAACCCTAAAACCCGCGCGGGGCTAAGGCAGGGTGGCAGGACAGCACCTCACCGCTCCCAGCCGGCCCTTTAACACGCACACGGGGCCGGTACCGAGCAGCAAATGCCGGCAGGCTCTCAGGGAAGCCGCGCATTCCTTCCATATCGCGTCCGCAGGAGACTTTCGGCTGTGCCACCGCCTCGGGTGGGCTCGACAGGGCGGGCTGCCCTCAGCTCCCCCCGCTCCCGATGCCGCTCGCAGCTCAGGTACCTCGCGGCAGCCGCCTCCCCGCCTCGCCCCGGCGAACAAAGGCAGCCGCGGGCTGCAGCAGCGGGGCGAGGCGAGGCGAGCCGGGGCTGCCACCGCCCCCAGCCCCTCACCGGCGGCTTCAGCCCGAACCCACCCCGTCCCCTCCGGGGCTCGCCCCGCCGGGGGTCACCGAGCCGGGGGCACCCCCCGGGGACCGCCCCGCCGACTGCCCACTCCCCGCCGCCCCGCGCCGCGCCGCCTCACCTTGCTGCAGGTCCTGCTGGTCGTACCAGGGCTCATCCTCGCGGATCTCGAACTCCTCCACCAGGCTGCCGGCCAGCATCGCGCCCCCTTCTCCCTTCCCCCGGCGGGGCCCGGGCCAGCCGCTCCCTCTCCCCTCAGCGGCCGCCTCCGGCCATGGCCGGGCGCCGCCGATCCCTCGCCGAGCCTCTCCCCCTTCCGGCCGGGCCGCGCGGAGCCGCCGCCGCCGGCAGCAACGTGGCAGGCGCCGGCCGCCCGCCCCCCGTCGCCCCGCGATTCAAACGCGGCACCCTCAGCTCCGCGGCGGGGAGCCAATGGGGAGCCGCCCGCCCGGCGGATGGAAAGGAGCCCGAGCCAATCACCGCGCCGATCCGCGGCGGGGAGCCAATGGCAGAGAAGGGAAGGTTGGCCCTGGGTTAATACGGCCCCGCCCCAGCAGGCGGTGGCGGCGCAGGGGGAGGAGGTGGGTCGGGTCGGGCAGGGCAGGGCAGGGCGGGGGGCTGAGGGTAGCGCGGCGGGGCCTGGGACCTGTGGGGGCTCCCCGCGGCTGAGGTGGGGCTGGGCGCGGGGAGAAGCCGCGGCTCTCGGGGAGCGCCCCCTGGCTCGGCAGCCCCCGCGGGGCGCTGAGGGAGCAGCTCGTGAGGCGGGGCGGGGCGCGGACCCTCGGCTCCCCTCAGCGGCGGTGCCCGCTTGGAGGCTCCGCGTTGGGCACGGGGCGGGCCCGGGGGTGGCTCCGGCGGCCTCCTGCCTTGTGAGGGACGGGAGCCGGGACTGGGGCTGCTGAGGAGGAAGCTCCGCGTGCCCGCTTCTCGCAGGCCGGCGCCCCCGGGCAGCGCCCCCTCAACCCGTCAGGAGCTGCGCGGGCTCGGGGGCGCTGGCGGTGCCTCCTGCGCCGGGTGCTTGCTGCTCTCATCCGCCCTCAGCAGCCCGTCCCCTCGGCAGTACCCCTCAGGACTAGGAAGGGGTTTAATCTGAGCCTTGCCCTCATGGGGCTGAGGACGAGGAAGGTTTTTATGACTATCAGGGCTACGAGCACCACACGGCAGTGCGGGACCCAGCGGGGCCTGCTGCCACCCCGTGTGGTCCAGCCAAAGCTCGTTACCACTGGGGAATCCACTTTTCTTCTCCAAGTTTGTGCTCTAGCTGCTTCTAGAGGTCATCACCCAGCCCTGGGAGAGCTGCGAGTAACGCCATGCTGCGCCTCGCTGCTTTAAACAGCCTCTTCTCTTGGCTCGTCTGTATTAACGCGGTTGCAACCACGAGGCATTTCTGCAGCTGATTGCCTTCTGTGAGTCACAAAATGTCAACACCTGTGCTTTAATGTGCTCAGTGTAAAGGCTCTGACTCTTCGGAAGAGGAGGGGGTACTCACGCATGATTTCATTGTTGTACAATTAAAGAGCACATCTTTTGGGAAAGGAAGTGTGGTACCTCAACTTCTAATTGAACCTATTTCATAAACAAGGTACAGGAGCAGATGTACCAATTAGTGTAAAGAGTTGTGTCAGATCCTGTGTATTATAATTAGTCATGACACTGGAGGCCTGGTTGCACATTGTTAGAAGGTTTTTGTAGAAGAAATGCTTTCAATTTTTCTGAAGCTAAGGGAACCATTTTTCTATTTATGTGTAGGAAGGAACTGAGTCAAGTACGATTTGAGAAATGAATGTTAATGTCAAGCATGCTTATTCCTGGTGCCTGTGGAATTTGAGGGAGAAAAGAGGCCTCTGGTTTTCCATTTGAAAACCCAGACGGGGTTGCGGGTGAAATATCTACCTTTCCAAAGATACCTTCTACATAAATCACTTTGTTAAGTACATTTGTGAAGGCTTGAACACACATTTCTTCTTAAAAAAAAATAAAATGTGATGCTTATCAGTAACACACTTATTATAATGTCTTTCACAATTTTAATACCTCTTTTTAAAAACAAACATTCCAGATTCCATTTTTTCAATAACCTTATTCTTCATTTAAGATTTCTCAGTTTATGAAACCAAACGTGTTACAAAGATTAAAAATTCCATCACATGGAAATGAAAGAGCCTTTGCAGCCATAGCTCTCTGAAAAATAAATTTGAAAATACTCATGCTCAAATATCTAAAAATTCAGTCATATTCTCATAAATAAATTGTCTTTATAAAGAAAAAACTTAGTTCAAGTTGTCTGTCAGCTTGATTTTTTTCTTACCTGTCAAGAGAAGTTACCTTCTCTTTGCATATAGATTCGTATGTGAGCACCTTAAAGATATGCACAAAAAATGTAACCAACCACCTTTTATGTGCTCTGTAAATAGTTCACTTTCTGTGTTTGGGAGGGGATGGAAAAACTGCTGTTCCACCCTCTGAGCCAGCATAGATGCTTCTCCAGCCTCTACTTGATTTGCAGCTTTTGTCTGGCCTCACCTGGTGATCAGGAGGTTACCATCTGCCCTCACAGCAGCCTGTCCTCTGCCACTTTGTGAACCACAGGAAGCAAGAAAGCTGGAAACCACCTTGCTTTAAATTACCTGTGTCTTTCATGGTTGTGATCATTGATATGATGAGTTCAGGGAGTTGCTTGTAGATATGTTTATCAAGCATATCTTCAAACCAAGCAGATACTCAAACTGTGTATTTTGATGGATATTTGAAAACTGCATTTAGGTTAAAATTGTAAATATAATGCAGAGGAGCAAAATGTGGACTACTGACAGCAGGTTGTGAAGCTCTGGAGTTAGTGTGCATAAGGCTGAAATGTGAACCTGAAGTATCTCCAAATTACTGGCAGACAGCATCTTTCAAATAGATGTAAAGAATACTAAATACTCAGTTAAAAAGAGGTAACTGGTAGAAGTATTTTTGTATTGGGATCATAGAACTGAATCTGGTCAAGAACCATAAATATAATCATTACTTTAGAAGGTTGAGGTTTCCTGAAGCTAGCTATTTTTCATGGGATAGATTACACCAAACATACTTCAGTTAATTGCTAGATATGTGGAAAAAGTCAGCATCTTAAAAATGTTGGCTGAAGATCTGTTTGATATCTTACAGAACTATATTAAAGTATTTCTGTTACTAGGAAGTACTTTAAGTGCTGTATTGCCCTATACCAGTTACTTTCAGGATTTTGTTTACATGTGGTCTCTTCTAGTAGGAAAATGTTTAAACTGTTAAAAAGTGTTTTAATGGTTTTATGGCTTCTGTTCATATCTCATTTGTTTATTATTTAAAATCACTGCTTCCATGCTTCTTAGCTATTAACATTTAAAGATGCAAAAACAAAACTATACTTGTTTTGAAAGAAATACTCATCTAAGTGTATGCTGCATTTGACATTCATAGCTATGGAATACGTAGGGTTATGAATTGAGTCACTTCATTCCTACACAGCTTCATAATTCTAAAACTACGTAGCTAGCAAGAAAGATCCAAAATTTATGGAGTTACTTTAACCTCCAAACAAGCATTAGTGTTTGCAATAGCAGATTTTCATGCACCAGTTTGGAAAGGATTCTTTTAAATTTCTGTCTACTTGTTCTATTGATTTGTAAGCATTGATTAGATTTAGAAATGTCACTGACTTCTTAATATTTTGTACCTATTCAGTTTTGTGCTCAGTGTCTTATAACTCAATAAAATGTGTTGCTAATTTTAGAAGAAAAAGTGAGGATGGGGAAGTTTTCCTATAAGAGTCCATCCCTACACCTCTGAAACAAGCCAATCTCCCATAGCATTTTATTTAGAAAAATATTTTACCAACTTTTGTAATTATTTTTTTTTTTGTAACTTGAGGAAGAAGAGATTCGTACAATTTGGAAGATGAAGTTTGTTTTGGGAATTCAACCTAATGCACTGGCATACTCCATGACTACATTAGGTGCAGGAATGATGAACAGTATCTTTAATTTCTACTACGTTAAGCTTTTCCTAAACCAATACAAAATTTCAGAAGTAGCGTTTCATCAAGCACAGGTATTGTACAATGGAATATTTTGATTACCATTGTGTATTATGTGTCTGTGTTATAACAAAGTGTTTTTTTGTTTGTTTGTTTTTTTAATGTATTTCTTTTGAATGCATTGCAAATCATTATAAGGTACATTAACTTTAAATTTAGTTAATTTATATACAAGTGAAAATACACATAAAACCCAGTAGTTACAGTCTTTAGACTAAAAGACTCCAAACTTCAATTGCTGGAAAGATTTTTACCTTTGATAGTTTCACTTAATGTTTTAAACTAATCTTGCACCTTAGCTCCATAGATATCCTTGACTTTAGTGCTTTCCTTTGAGGTATTCAGGTACTTAAATACTGCCCTTATTCTGCAAGTCATTATCCAGGTGTCCAACTCTTGTTGTAAATAGATTCCTGAATGTAATGGGCCAGCTCATGCTGTGAATTATTTGCTGTGAGAGTTTGCAAGATACGTCCCGGGTATAAAAGTGTTTGATGGAGTGAAGTCTAAGAGATGCAGGTTCACTTGTTGTTTATACCTGCCTACTTACTCCTTTTGGTTTCTTTCAAAAATTAATGTAAACTCTAAATACCTTTAAGAATTTGGTCCCAAGTTTGGTTTTGACCTTTCATCTTTTTTGATTCCTTTAATAGAAATTCATGATAAATAAATACTGTGTGTATTACTTCAGGGTTTGTATAACCTGTGCAGGAAAATCACACCAATGATAAATTCTGTTGTGTTTCTTGCTTGTTTGCCCCAGGTTGTGTTCATGATATGGAATGCCATTAATGATCCTCTTTTCGGATATATCCAAGATAACTCCAAACTCGCATGCTGCTCAAGACGCCAGTTCTCAATTTTATATGGAGCTCCTTTATACGCATTAGCCTTTTTGCTTCCTTGGTTTCCTTGGAAACATTATGAAGAAGGTGACTGGCTAAGTGGTCTTCACCTTATTGTTGCATTATGTGCTTTTGACGGTTTGCTTACTTTTGTGCTTCTTGCGCAGTGTGCGCTCTTTGCAGAAATTTCAACAAGACATGAAAGTAGGCTTCAGCTTATTAAATACAACCAAGTAGCAACGTTAATCGGATCTACGAGCATTCTCTTTTGTGGTCTAATATCAGATAATATGGAAAATTTTGCCAATTTTCAGGCTTTTGCTGTTTTGGTTGCAGCATTAGCAACAGCTTGTATGTGTTACACAGGCAAGTATAGTACTAGTCAGTATGAACAGCGAGAAGTGCTTACAGAGAATGCTAATCTAGAAAATGGTGATAGAGTTCTCTCCTGGTCCTCTGTAATTTCATTGACCAAACAGATTATGACAGAGAAAAACTTTTTATTTTTTGTAACTATGAACTTCTTCCAAGTCTTTCACCTAGCATTCTGCAACAATTTTATGATGATCTTTGCGGATAATCTCATTCCTAAGGATGTCCTTTCTTCCTCAATAAGAAGTATCATGTATGGAGCTGGCTTTATTTGTCCTCAGGTAGGCAGTATCACTTTCATATTTCAAAATATGAAAATATGATGTTTTAGTAGTTCTTATTAGATTAAGGTATCTATTTACAGTGTTCGTTGAAAAAATGGTGTCTCCAGCATAAATGACTGGACATACCAAGAAACAAATCTAGCTCAACAATGCCCTGAAAGAAGAAAGTACCAGTAGGTATGGAAGACTTACCAGAGAAAGGACAAGCAGGCAGACTGGTAGAAAACCATTTTACAAGAATGTGAAATGTGAATATGCAAGGAATTAATGTTTTGTGGCCTACATGATTTGTAATGCCCAAGTATAAAGGAATGAAAAGCATGCTCAAGATAAAAAGTTCCTAAAAGCAAAATCTATATAATTCTTAATTATTTTGTCTCTGTTTTTGATTTGTAATATATGATGAAAGAGTAATCTCTTCTTCAGGAAGTTTCTGAGATAAACTGCACAAAACACTGGAAAAATTAATTAGGTATTAAAAGCATTGTTGAAACATATGAAAGCAAACAAAACTCTATATGGCTGGTTTTGGAGAATAATTTGTTCCCATGTATTTTATTGTTTACTGTCTTGGTCAGCTACATTTACTTCGTATGGAGAAAGATTTCAAGACCCCAGACAGAGATGGTGGGAGGAACAGCAGACTGTAAAAGAAATGAGAACCCAAACCAGTAATGTGTGAGAGCAAGAAAGACAGCAAAAATATGTCCCACTGGATGTAAACATACTCGTTTTTCAGTAGGTAGAATCTAAAAGAGGGTAACATGGAAGTGCACCTGGAATTCACAGTTCAAAGTCAGTTAGATTTTTTGGCTTTTGCATATATAACACAGAAGTGACTTTTTTTTCTCCCCCAGATCCTAAACATATCTTTTCTATTCCATAACACTTAAATATAAATCATTTCAACTTTTATCCTTACCACAAGTTTTATAGTTTCTTCTTCTGTAACCCAGATAGGCTATGAACTTCAGAAATAAATCAGAAACTACAGAAGTTAGGAAAGCTTAAATATGCTAATCAATCAATATATAGCAGTCACCACTGGTGATACAATCAGCATGACACTGTGAAACGAACAATCTTTCAGAAAATGCATTTCTCTCTGGTCCCCAGAGACTCTTTGTCTAGGAGGTCGCTGAACCATAGAGAGTTTTCTGTGACCTTATTTTTCTCAGGTTTTGTCCCTTTCAGCTCAAGATATAATAAGAGAATTCTCTGGTGGCAATGGCCTGAACTTCACTTACTGGAAAAGCACCCAGCCCTTGTAAAATAAAGCCCCTTCTTATGAACCGTGCTTTGATGGCCTGTGCTCAAACAGACTGCAGCTTCAGTCTCAGGTTCCTTTTAGTAGTGTCTGCAAAGAATAAAATCTGCCTACAAGGGAAACCTTGTTGCTGAAACAAAGGCAAATTTAAATGTAAAGCATCATTATGTAAGCATTTTTTCTTAAAATATGCTGTCTTAAAATATGCAGATAATAAGGAATTTTCTAAATCATAAGTGCTTCCTGAGACAGGGTTATTTCTCAATTATAGGGAGACAAGGTCATGTTCTTTACAATAGCATCCATTAAATAACATCTTACAATTTCTAGTATAAGCCCATTTATGAAAAAAATGAAAATAGCCTGGAACGAGGAGTATGTTTAGTTTCTTACAATCAGATTTTGTTGCTATACCAACTTTCTAGATTTGTTTTACCTCTTTGATCATTGTTCTAAGTAGAAGACTTGAGCTTGGAAATTGTATTTGCCATAGTAATTTTTGTCTCGTTGTAGCATCCTGGTGTTATGCGTTGTGTTAAAGTATCCAAATGTGAGAACAAATGTATAAGGAGATTTCCTTCTTGTTCTTCATCTGAATATTACACTGTCCAGGAAGGAGAACTGATCAGCAATTAAAATTCAAGAGGCAAGATGCTTGGTTTACAGTTAACATGCTGCAAAGTTAATTGTTTAAGAAGTATCAGACAAAGATCATGACCATTAAATAACAGTGAGGCAACGTGGGGAAAAGTATTTTCCTCAGAATGTAACAGTTCTTATCCGGCTAGTTTTGAGTGAAAGGAAACCATTCTTACCCTGTAGAGGTAGCATAGAATGATCAGGTAAATATTTTCTTTGTTGAATTCTTATATTTTAATTTGGTTTGTACGTTTTATAAAGGCTTTTTCTTCTTTAATGGGTAGTAATGATTTATTTGTGTCTGTTCTGTGCTTTATAGCTCTCCTACTGCTGAAATACTATACTATGTCTTTTCCTCATGTATGTGTATATGTTGTCTTTTCAGTGCCTTGTTCTTCTCAGTCACGCTTCATTGAAGAAGTTTGGTTATTACAGAATCATCTTGTTTTCCTTTTACTTTGAAGGAGTAGCTGCTGCTGTCATGTTTTTTCTAGGACCAGAACATTATTATCTTTTGGCATTTTATCTCACAACAAACATGTAAGCAAGTATGTTTCCTTTTTCATAGACACAACTTAAATAATTCTAACAGAGTGGACAGTTGTTTCTAATAGCCTGAAGATTTTGCCACTGCTTTCTTTCTGTTCTGTTTCAATCATCAGAAAACTCAAAACTCTGCTTACAACTTCTTTCAGCTTTCATTTTAGTATGCTTCAGCTTTCAATTTCTGCTTTAAAAAAAAAAAAAAAAAGGTTGATCAGTGACTGTGGTTTGCAGCCAAATGCTTCCTGCCATGTGTCTATTTTAACGAGACAAATTCACATTCAAGGTAAGCAGAACCTCTTGTCGACTACAAAGATTTCAGAAGAGGAACTCTTCAGTGAGTGTTTGCTAGGGAAGCCTCAGACCATGTTTTGTACTGCATGAACACTTGTGTACTACACTGCAAAATAAGTATCAATAAGTCAGGTATCCATTAGGTAACCAATACTAAGTTGCATTTTCAGTAGCAATGGGGAAGTATGATGCCAGGAAGTAATTCTTTAATTGAGGAAGCACATTAGAATGTTTGCAAAAACTTATTTAGAAATAAAGACCTGTTTGTATCAGAACATTATTGCAGCAGTTCATTTTTCTCTCTTCATTTTTTATTTCATTGCTTTATTTCTACATGTTCCTACCTTCCTTTTCTACCTTTTTCTTTTTTTCTTTCTTTTTTTTCCCCCTATTTTCATTCTCATTTTCAGTATTTCAGTCATGAGCTACTGTAACAATGAATTGTGTGACCAATAAATTGCATTTCATTACCTGCACACTTTAAATGATGAAGATATATTTGGATTTCCACAGGAAAATCTTAAAAGGTACCTAAAGACTTTAAAGTGGTAATTGTTCAAAGCCTCTCATAAGTAAAAGATAACCACAGCTAAAATTTAACAAAATGTTGAAGTCCTGATACTTTAATTTATGGTTTCAGTTAGCAGTTTAAGAGTCAGATTTGTGTGTGTACATATTTAAATGCATATATGCATGCAAAATGTGAATACGTACATAGGAATGCATATAAAATCTTTTTATTTTTCTAATTCTTCCACTTCGAAATTCATCATGCATATGGGCTTTCCAGTCCTTTCCATGTCTATCTCAGATTTCAAGAGGACATTTTGAGTTTTTTGTTCCTATAAGGTGTTTTCTTTTTCTTCATGTCACTTTAAATGACATTTACTGATAATATCAAGCAAGTATTTGTGACTCTTTCCACCAGTGTCCGGGGGGGAAAAAAAAAAAAAGGAAAAAAAAAGTTAGGTCTGCATATCAACTTCTAATTCTCAATTAAGAACAGACCTACCAATGCTTTCAGAACTTCTGTTTAAACATACGTCACCATGTTTTAATGAACATCTCTGTTTTGTGTTTATCCAGAAATGTCAGTGTAGTTGGGTGCACATGCTAGAATTAGGCATCAGTTACCATTTTTATTTTGAAAATGTGTTTTAAAAAGATCTTAATTATTTTGTCTTCCTTTAGGGTAATTGTACAAGCTTCATTTAGTTTGTTCAATTTGCCCTTGGCAGATATTGTTGATGCAGATTTAATAAAGCACAAGCGGAGGTATGTCATTCCTAACTGTTTTTCTTGAAATACGCTCTAATTTCTCATGTTACTCTTTAGTAAGATTATGTCAAGGGAAGGCAGTAAGTGATTGTGGGTGCTCGACACAGAAGTACTTTTTGTAAGAACAACGTAGCACAAGTAAAGATAAGAACTTTAATGAAGTTTCCTGCCATTACTTCAGTAGAGCACTTTGAACAGCTTATTAGGTAATTCCTAGTTTTAATTGCACTATTGTATAAGCCAAGTTCTCCAGGTGGCTTTTTTTTTTTAGTGTTTGTTAATGTCAGCTTAAATTGATTTTGTAACCCTATACATCTATTGTCACCTTCCTAACATGGAAAAGGAGTTTAGAAAGTTTTACCTATACTACTTAAAGTGCAAACTTCAAAGTCTGAGTGGTTGCTGTTATCTCTCTGAAATAAAAATTGATAAAACCAGCTGTGAGCTAGCATATGACAACTCATGGGTCTTTTGCACTTTGATAAAAATCCAAGCAACTTCCTGTTGGTTACATCAATGTTTGTATTAGTACAGATTCAATTTTGGTCAAAGGGTATTACAGGACTTCACCCTCAAAGGTGAGAACTATTGCTTTCATGGAGAAAAATCCTTTTATGGCTTCATGTGTGTAACCTTACATTGTAATTAATTTTCCATGCATTGTTCAGTCTAGCTTAGCTTCAATAATTACTCAGTGTGCAAAAGTTGAATTGTGTGCAAGTCATTTCAGAACTGGGGCCAAGCTGTATATAGCCCAGAGGTGTTTTTTTTTTTTGTCTTTAATTTTTATTTTTCCAAATAAAATGAGATTTCATTATGATAGCTGATCTGTTTGCAATCAATATGTATAAAATATAAAGCTAGCTATTGTGAGTTAACATTTGCATATTAACAGGATTTAGAGAATCATTATTGTAATTGATTCTACATACTAATAATGTGGTGTTGTATGTTTGTTTTTATTTTCTGAAATATTTTAGATCACCACTTTCCTCTATGGTTTTTGGTACCAATGCTTTATTTACCAAGCCTGCCCAATCTTTGGCTCCAATGCTTGTGGTTACCATACTAAATCAATTTGGATATGAGAACTTGAATAATGAAGTTGCTCAGCCTGATCCAAGGTGAGTTCAAAAAGGATGCTTTAAATCACAGAATTTAGAGTGAAATAATCCTGTCATTCAGACAGTAAATGGAAAACTAATCTACCATCAGTTTGCATCAACTGTTCTTCAAAAATATAAGCATTTTAAACATATTTTTCATTTGCTTTCTTTTTATGTATAGAAATAAAATGTTTTCTAGATTTTTTTAAAAGGAATAAATCCTTTATTAAACAATACATTTAAGCACACCTACCTAATTTTGGGGGGAAAAAGGATACATTTCAGTATTTGACCATCTCCCTTTTCTTTGTGGAAAAATAAGAAAAACAGTTTGAGGTCACCTACTACTTCTTATTAAGATAGATGTAGTCCTGGCTTCCGTGTTTTGTTTGTCTTACAAGCCTATTTCCTTGAATATGTAATCATAATAGGTTTGCTTTTAGGATATATTTTTTATTTGAGAGAAAGTAGTATAATCACTGGAGGGAGGGGAATTTACCTCAAATAGGAGTATCATTTTGGCTTCTACACGACTTACCATTCTAACGCTAATGATTTCATTGCATTCCCTAGAGACCTTAATATGCAGCATAAAGCTGTGGTTGCTAGTTACCATATTGGAAATGCATGGGCTTTAAAAGTAAATAAATAAATTAACAGGGAGTCAGTACACTAAAAAGGTCAAAGTGTTTATTTATGTCCAACAAAAGGAAATAACATATGGTATTATTGAAGTCAGCTCTAAAAAGCAAAAATTAGTCTGATTAGGGTTTGTTTGAAAGAACAACATGGATATCCTAAATACTACATAGCTCCTCTACTCAATTCTGATTAGAAAGCTTAAAAAATGCGTAGAAGATAATTATTCTATACCAACTTTTGTGGAGATAGCTCTTGAAGGAGAAAAGACTGGTTACGTGTTACCTAAGGCTAAGAGAATATTTTATATTTGAGGAAATTTCTAAAAAAAAAAAAAATATGAGGAAAAGGACAACATAAAAGTGCAACAGGTAGTCTTCAGAAAAGTATCTTGACATAAAAAAAGAAGGCTTATGTCTGAGGCTGTGCTTGAGAACAGTTGATTTGATTTTAATGCATTCTGTGGATAGTCAGCCAGTGAGATGATGTGATAAGGACGTGAACCTCATTATAATGTCAAATAAGATGAGTGATTTTTGCAGAAGAGTGGTAGGTTGAACTGGATGTTGAATTATGAGAAAGCTTGAATATATTCATCTTGATGATTCAGAGAAATTCAGATTTCAAGCAAGAAAAGTTCAGATCTGTTCCCTTCTAACCAGAGAAACGATCCCTTTGTGAATGGATTTTAAATCACAGTAGTTCTATTTTTTTTTTCCCAATAAGTAGATTCTGGACTATAGCAACAATAAATTTATTGAATATAGAGTTGAAATACTTTGATTACTCAATCTCTAAAACCTGTATTTGGAATTGAGTCATGTTGAAACTGATTTATGTTGATTTATTTTACTAGTGCAAGGAACAGCTTAAAGGTACAAAGTTGAGATCAGTTAATCAAAAATGCTCCCAAAATATTCTGCATATATACCTTGCCCACCCCCTCAAGAAGAATGTCTTAAATACAAAAGAGTCTGCACGCATTCTGTATATGTGTGTGTTCATGTGTACATTAGACTTGAACTCCAAATTTGACCATCTGAGTCTGATCTTAGTCATTTGACATTTCTTCCAGCTAGCTGAGAAATCCTGCAGCATCTCTGGAGAAGAATTAATAAAAATCTGATATTAAAAAAAAATAATAATTCCTGGATTGGTCAGTAAGTGCTTTCTTTGTGAGCGGAGTACAGTGTGCATGTCCACAAAGACAAGACTACTGAATATTGTTTTTCAGGAAGTCACTTTGCCCATGGCGATGTACTCTGACCATTGACTGAGTTAAATCACCTATATATATTCAAACTCAATCAGCTGATCTGTGATTTCAGCCGTACATAGGCAGGCAGCTAATACACACTTGTCTCAGGACGGAGTTGTTTTTTGGGGACAAACAGAAGCTGAATCAGGAGATCACTTCAAACATGCTCAAATTGTTAACAATATTATAATAAATAAATAACATGCGAATTACATGTAACAAAATGTTATGACCCATGCCAATACAGTCTCAGCTATGTCCTTCCTTCTCCAATGCTTGCAATATCTAGTAGGTGCTCTAAAAAGCCTTAACTTTATTAGATATTAGTGGTAGTGAATTGTGAAGATAACACAGAGAATCCTTATTTTGCATTACTAAAATGTTTGGGCCCTGAATAAATGTGTCTTAAGAGTTTCCAGCAACGTTATTCACTAAGAAAAGAAAGAAGATGCAAAAACCATAAACTAGTCAGCAAAATTTGCTGAATTTTAAATTATTCTTTTTTTTTTTTTTAACTGAAAATTAAAGCCTAACAAAAAAGTACCAGTACTTAGTTACAGTGAAAATGTTAGTGTGTTACTGTTACAGGTGGGCAGTTCCTTCTTATGTACAGATACTGTCTGTTGCTTTAGTTTTGTTCTGCATATTCTCTGACAAAGTGGAAGAATCTCAGTAAGGTGTATGTGATTTGTTGTGGGTTTTGTTTGGTTAGTTTGATTTGTGTTTGTTGTTTTTTGTTTCTTTTTGTCTTTTGTATGTTTTGAATGCTAAAGTTCTATGGAATGAACATAGAAAACTAATTTCCAGGCGCCTTCCTTTTCTTCCCTTTCAGGCTCTAAAGTTTGAACATTGGGTTTTGTACTCTCAGCAACTTTTCAAGCTTTTGCTGGAGTAGGCAGCCTAGTGAGGTGGTGGATGCCCCATGCCTGTTACTGTTCAAGAGGCATTTGAATAATGCCCCTAATTATATGCTTCAACTTCTGGTTAGTCCTGAAGTGGTCAGGCAGTTGGACTTGATGATCTTTGTACATCCCTTCCAACTGAACTATTCTGTTCTGTTCTATAAAACTTTCCAGCAATGAGTGTACACTTGACAAATTATGGGAATAACCTTTTTCTGTTTCTTCACTCTTATTTTTGTTTAATAATGTCATTTCATTTTCTCATTTATTAATACATTGCTTATGCAAGACCACATGGAATGCTGGAGCTCAAACTTTCTGGATGACTTCAACTAAAAAAAGGTTCTTACCTTATGGCAGAAGGGTGTGTCTCTTTCTCCCATGCTTCATTTGTTTTATATATTTTGAAATCATTTTGTTAGCATACTACCTTCAGAAGTGTCCTTCACAAATATTCCGTCTTTGGTGCTCATCTTGCACTGTATCAGAAAGAAAATGTCAATCAAAAGCTATCTGCTGAGCAAATCATGTCTTCTGACTATGTGTCTCTCGAAAAAGTCTGTAAAATGGCACTATCTCACCTATACCTCATCAGCATTCCAGTAGTGACATTTTGATTTTTCAGCTACGTGATACTATCTATGGCTCTTTGACATTCTCCATGATCAGGGTATTTCATTATTGTTTCAGTAGAGTTAATAAAACTCTATTAGAATACCAGCCAACTGTAAATTGGCAATTTTTAAGCTTGTCTGTTTTTTGTTGCCATCATGATATTGAACAGTCTGCACACACACATTCTCTGCCTGCGTAAGAATAACATTCCTGACCAGCTTATTAGGGCATCTGGCATGCTCTGAGTCAAATTCTTATCCCTGGAGATCTTTTGAGACAATAGTTTGTCATCATCTTGGTGGTTTCAGTTACAGTTGTATTCCACAGGGCACCCAAGATGGTAAGACAGTGAAACAGTTTTATATGGAGAGTGAAGGCCTAGAAGAAAAGAAGTTTTAGTCTCCCTTCTCGTTTCATCTGGAGCACCTCCAGGCTGATGGTTGAGATTAATCAAAAATGATAAAATGCTTATCACTGGACAGTGATCCCTGTACTGTCATAAACCAGGCATACAGAAGATTGTTCTATTCTTCTTCTGTAATGAAACCCTTGAACTGACCTTTAGCATCACGAAATTCTTACTTACCACTACCCGTATTTACTTCTGCCCCAATGGTATTATCTTCTTAGCCATCAGTATGTCTTCTTTCTTAGGAAAAATCCACTTCTATCTCATTTTTCCCTCTGGTTTTGTAACTCTGAAGTGTGACCTTTCTGCTATGAACTGTGTATTTCTCTTCCAGAAGCGTTCTTGCCATTCAGTATATCACACATGTAGTTGGCTGATATATGATACACAATTCTCTGCGTGTTACACGTGATTCCATATACGCTACACATTAATATACTTATTATACTGCATTGTTAGGAAATGGGGTAGCTACACATCAGTATTTTGTAGTGGAAGATACCTTAGGAAGTATTTTTAATGTGATAGCTTAAGATTTTAACAATAGTTTTCAGAATAGAGTGGTCCTGTTTTATTTTTATTCTTTTATTTTTTTGTTCTCTCTTTTGATCCATCATGATAGTAAAATGTTACCTGTCCCATATGGCTTGATATTTTGAATTACTATCGTTTATTTTATATTTCGCTCTGGAAAAGATACCTAGTTTAAAAACTCCCTCTTCTGGAGAGTTGCTGCAACTGCAGTTAACTTTTCTTAAAAGTGTGCTTTTCAAATTCATTCTTCAGAAGTAAGTTACTTGACAGTAACTCTTCATTATGTAATGGAGGCACTGTGATCTGTTGATGCATTTGTACTGAACTGCTGGACTACATCACGTTCTATGCAGACAGATATTAGGGAGGTCTAGGGGAAGATGGTATGATTTATTCCTTCATGTGCAAGAAATGACTGTAGACTCGGAAGTTTTTGATAACTGGTTCAGCTAATGATTATGATGAAATCTGAGCACTGCTCTTGATTTATTCTGGTCCCTTAATGAAATATTTTCCCATTCATTGTTCTCCATACCATAGGTACTTTTTGTAAGTTGAGGTTTTACAACATAACAATAGGCATTTTTATTTTCTTAAACCAATATTGCTTCACTCAAACCAAATCAGGATTGCATCAGTGAAAGTCAGTAATTTGACAGATGTTCTTTCACATTTGTCCTTTTTATATAAATGTGGAAGAATTTTAGTACTGAGAACTGCAATCCTCTTTTAGTGTGCAGAACAGCCAAAGTATAAACCCCAATGTGCTGTTAATTGCATCTTAGTCCTGTCTGCAACTGCAGATAGGTGAGAAAGGTAAGTAGTTTGTCTACGGCCTCTCTGCTGACGCTGCTCCTACAGTTAACTATTGGCAGTTGTGATGGTGGTGTGCATGATGTGGACCCTTGTTTGCTTTAGGTGGACTGAAAATGCAAGTGAATACAGGCCAGTAAATAACATGTAAATAGTTTATTGTTGCTACCAATAAACACTGGCTATGGACCAGTGACTTGCTAGTGAACAGCTTCCATTTATTAAATGCAATTGCCTGAGTGATTAACTCACTTGAAAGCCTGTGTTTTTTTGTTTTCTTATGTAGCATTAACTTATATGGGATTTGAGATAAATTGGGTTTGGGATGGGGGGTGTACATGCATGCACTCAGTTATATTCGAGATTGTGAGCATTTTTCTGTTAAATACAGTGAAACATGAATTGATTCTTTTGTGATATACAGAAACTCTTAGATTCCGTTCAAAAGCTTACTCAAGTTTATGAGAGTTTTTTCACAGATTTCAGGGTTTTTTTGGATCATGTCTGTAGCTGTTCTGTGAGTCTCCCATCTCACCCCGAATGCTAATTAAAAATAGATAATAAATTGTCTCTTGGAGAGAAAATTAATTTAGGGACTGTTTCTTAGCTTGAGTTGACTTTACTGATATTTAAGTAATTAGAATCCAATAATTAACAGAATGCCAGTAGATAATGATTCTAGCTACTAGACGAATACCAAAATGTATAATTTGAGATGTCAGAAACCATGCTGTTCAAAGAAGGAGGCTTTTAACTCTCATGTTCTTCTTTCTGATTCGTAGTTGTTGATGCTTTTATTCCTTAAGAAGATTTAGATCAGGAAATACTATTCATCCACAAGAATAAATAAGCATCTGAGTGTTAATTTCACAAGTATTATTTTAGTAGTTTATATAATCTTTTAATCCCTTCTTTTAAAACAATAAGATTAATTTAATCTTTGTATATGAAGCAGCCTATTTATTACACAGTATAGTGAGTTTTGTGCATTAATCATGACTCCCACCCAGCCCTCAGCAACTATAGTAGTATATTATGTGGATAGCTAGTAGTTCAGATTTTAACTTAAATAAAATAATTTCATGTTAAAATGTTTGCTTCCAGTACTGCTTTTCTTTATCTTCCAGATCGTTCAGTCTCACTAAACCTTTTCAGATGCTCTGTTTTATAATTGAATTATATTGCTTTAAATTAATTTCTATATTAAATAATACAGATATGTAGTAAAGTAGTTATCTCATTTCCTCCTGGCTATTATGAGAGGAGTAAACAACGTAAAATCTGAATGTAGAATCAGAAAATATAACTGAATACATCTCAGTGATACCTAAGATAATAATTCCTTTATTTAGAATTTACTGTACCCACTAATTTGTCTGTGTATGTAAAGGGAATGCTTAAAAATAATTTGCTATGAAATGACCATGAAATTATCTTATTCATCTTGAAATCTGTGTTTTCATCTTTTCCACCAGTTTGTTTTTAGGTCTTCACGATGCCATGTTCTATTTGATCTGTCTGGTTCCGCTTTGCATTGCAGTCGTGCAGATCCTGACGTGGACTCGCTTTTCAATCCAGAATAGTCATTTAACAGCTGTACGTTAAATATGTAACAGGTGGTCATTAAAACTTCTGCTGAACTGGACTTGGTATGTTTTAAATGTGAAAAAGCAAAATTGCTTTAAATAGACTGTTAGACCAAATAATGTTTGAGCCATTTCAATACACTATGTTCTTCAGTGTAGTAGAACATAACACAGATCACATTCAGCCTTAATGTTGATTCCCTGTACAGAGGATTTTTTGAGTTCAGCTATTTGAATGTGATGTGTTTTATCCATAATTACCTACTAAAGTAATTTCTGGTATATACTGGTCACTGTTTATCTCCTTTGAAGACTGGATAGGGCAGATCAGGTAAAGGAATCCCTGGAATTCAACGATAGTGTATGGTCTTAAGTTTACTGAAAGATGGTGGATTAATTCTGCCATATCTGATAAAATATCACATCTCTGGGGATAGTCCAGAAAAGCCCAGATAGACATCCCTCAGGGATGGCAGGGAGATGAAGAGAAAAATGTAGATGGTGTCTACCAGACCATTAACAAGACAAATCTGCCAGCTGCTACAGGAAGCACCAAGAATAATTAACTACTCTGTAAAAGTCTATGCAGGACTAAATAAGAAGATTAAAATGGTGTTCAATGAAGTGTTGCAGGTTATGGGAAAAGCTCCATACTTCCTCTTTCCAAGTATCTCTAGTTGGTGGTAGGTAGATGCTGCTTTCTGGCTTTTTGAATGGGAAAATTGTTTTGAGGTACTGTATTGTTAGTAGTTGATACAAAATGTCATTTCATTCTCCTAAGAAAGACATCAGCATATGGTTGTAGTAGTGTTGAACTAGTTGGACAAATGTAAACACACATATTAAATCAAACTGCTTGGTAATTTTAGATTGGCAAATTAATTCGCTGTGCTCACAGTTGAAATTTCTGATTAATCCTTACAAAAATCTTTTCAGCTTTTAAATGGATCCTGTGATTTTTATAAAATAAAGTTTTTGATACAATTTCAGAAAGATTGAATCCTCTCTTTATTTCACACATGTTGTAATGATAAGATACATTAGCATGTTTTTAGTACTCCTGTTTAATAGATACTCTTTTTCCTCCAATATACCTGGTATTAGAAAATCTGTGTGGGCAACAATGTTTTTCAAATTGTGTAATCTGTTTTCCTTGGTCAAACATAATTTTAGAATCACCTTTCTTACAGAGCACCAGTGACTTGAGAGTACAAGAAGATGAATTGCATGTATCAAGATTTTAAGGTGCTAAATCAGCTCATTTATCGTGATAGGAATCTTGGAAACAAAAGGAGTGTAAGAATTTACTGTGCTTCTTGTTGGGCAATAGCCTCGTTTAATGAGAAGGTTTGAGATCTGAAATACTAGTCTTGAAAAAATAATATTTTATGCCTCAGTTTTTACATTCCCAGAGTAGTGAACAGAACAAAACTGTTTCCTTGCTTTTACAAAGTGTTTTCAAAGCAATGAGTGAAAAAGTGTAATAGCATATTTTAAATATTTAGAAATCCAAGTGAACCCTTTGATATGAATGTGAAGGTTTATGTTAAATGTAAGAAGGTGGAAATGTTATGAAGTTTTGTTACCTGTTTTTATCTGTACTGTCAGAAATACCATTATTTATTTGCTTAGTACATGCTAATAGCATTATGCTCATATACAATTGTCAGTTGTATTTACATATCCAAACAGAATACTTGCAAAAATACCAGAACAGATATGGACTGTGTGTTTAAATTCTGATTTTTAAAAGATGTGCTGTGTTCTATGTATGAATTTTCTGTCTAAAAGGCTGAAGGAGAAAAATCTGAAGGAATTGAGGTTAATGTGATACTTAACTCAGTATATGAAACTGTTTTCTCCCTGATTGTTCCTTTTTAAATGGGAATAAATAACGTACAATAGTTTTATTTTTATTTACATATTTTCTAATTTTCATATGCTCATCCAATCCCCATATAATACACATTTGCTGATAGGTGAATATGTTGTTGCATAAATAGTGTTTCTTAGATGACTGTGTTTATTTCTTCTAATACAGCATTATTAGTTACAGTGAGTAGTTAACAACTGGGAAATCATGGTGCTACCTGACAGGAAAACTAATAAGATGTCAAACTAATTAAGAAAATTAATAAGTGTCAAAATCATACTAAGAATTCTTTGAAATGGCCAGATTTTTTTTTTTCTTTCTTTGTTTTATTTTTTCATTTTTTTCCTGGAAGTTTTTTTTTGATAAAGCTAGTATATTAATTACTGAAATAAAAAGGATTAAGGGATGATACGACTGAAGGCACACCTTGAATAGCTGCTAAACTTCTGTATATTTAGAATTAAGATAGGAGAAGTAAATAGTCAAAGATTTCAAAGTGAGATTACCTTAAAATATGAGGTATTAATTGTGTTGAGTAACCCAGTTGAGAAAACAAGCCCTAGAACCACAATACAAATAATTGAATAGGAAAATGTTAATCATTCTTCAAATTACTAGAATTTTGTATTCTCTCATTTGCCCTATTTCTCTTGATATAAGGGCAGGAAAAAGAAAGCATCTTTCATCATACCAGCAGTCAATCTAAAAGAGAACTGGAAAACTGGTTTAAATTCAGGTGGTAGTCTAACCACAAAAAGTAGTGACAGGAGGTTGACAGTATTTTATGATCGACATTGCTTGTTCTCCCTTTCTCTGACATTCATTAAACTTTGTTATCCTTTGCTAAACCTACATGATTGGTTTTGGCTGTGACTCAAGTAAAGAATGATCAAATTCAAAAGTTCAGTGTCTTGTAACAGCTGGTTTGCCTGCTTTCTCTCCTTATTAGCTCATAGTATGTGAGCTTGAAATCCCACTGCTGGAAAAATGCCACAATTTACTCTTGATAATTTAAGAATGTCTAAAATAGCCTCATAACTGATAAGGAAGATTTAAGTGTGTATAATATAAAATAGGAAATGTTTTGATAACTTCAGGGAATGAGAATCCCATTACTACATAGAATTTCTGTATAAATTCTGAGAATTTGGACCTTAGTACACTTAATGATTTTTATTTATTGAAAATCAATAGATAAGTGTTTTCTAGATTTAAAACAATATTATATAATAGTAAGAAATTTAGTATAATTTTATATAGTAGTAATATAATATGTGGTTAGTGATAACTGAAAACAGATGGAATAAATGACGATGAGTATTTAAGTAGGCAAAAATTAGATTTATACTTTGTGGTAGTTACAGGCCTGCCTCTGTCCTCATTTTGTACTGAATGACCTTCTCAGTCTCCTGCTATGCTGATTTTGGAACTGCTCAGTAATTCATGAATACACTCTGTTGACATGGCTAGTAGGATGTTTACATTTGAATACCGTTGTGTAGCTTAACGGTTGCTGTCAGGAAAGATGAGCAGGAAGGGAAAGGAACAGTTAAGATATGTTTCATCTCCACAAACACTTATGAGTTCTTTTTTACAGTATTACACCAGCTCAGGAAAAAGCTCGGTAATACATGCCATCAAAAGAATTCAAGCTGGTTTTGTAAAGGAACATACAACCAAGACTGGTGGAGTCCAGTTGTGTCCAATCCTAAAGAGCTGGAAGGACCCAAACATACCAAGAGGAATGTGTGAAGGAACTGGATTCCTAGGTTACTTTTGGGAGAAAGGATTTTAGATCAGGTATCTATATTTGCTTATCTTACACCCTCTTTCTAGTAGTTGATTTCTTACTACTAATAGTAATAGAAGGGAAAGTTGTTAAACTGCTGTGCTTAATTGGGAAAATTACAGTCCTAGAATACATGAGGCTGTGCAGCCGGTCCTGTAGCTGTGTGGCCTGTTCCAGAAGACAAGGCTCCTTGTGATCACCACAAAGCAAATGCAGACTGTCTTAAAAATACTCCTTTCTACGTAGGTATTCAAAACCTTTGAGTATGTTTTGGACCTTCTGGGTACTAAGTATTAAATAGATAATATAAATTTTCCACCAAGAGAAAGAAGAAATACTACCTTTCTCCTGTTGAGGAGAAAGTAGAAAAGTAGGGTTTTTTGTGTTTGTTTTTTTTTTTTTCTCTCTTTATTTCAGAAATCCTCCCCAAGCATGCTAATTGCTTTGAATGATGTATACATGCACTTATATAACAAATAGTTTTCTGTGAATGCCCAGCAATTGATATAGGGTACAATTCCACCAGGGTATGTGTAAATAACAATATATTAAAATTATTACATAAATGTGCATGAATAGTGCATACTTTATGGCCTGTCCAGAAAAAAAAATAGGTTTAGTATACAAATACTGCGGCAAAATATTAATGACAAATGTAACACTGGATAGGAACTTTGAAATGCTTTATTAAGACATACCCAGGTTGTACACTAACAATGCAAAGATGAAAGCTAATGTATTTCTTATTCAGTATGCAATTCATTACCTATATTTCACATGTGATAAAATATATTTCCTTGTGAAGAACATGTAATTAACCTGAAGCAATTGTATTTATTAGTTTACACGTTGCAAGCAGATGTCTGTTTAAAAAGCAGAAAATGTAGCTTTTGTCATTTTGAATTTTGGTTATAAAGTTGTTTCATTCCTGAAGGGAAAAATAAGCTAATCTGTCTTTACAAACAAGAACGTACATAGTAAGCAGAGTCCTGATCCCAAACCAAATAAAAAGAAATAGACTGAAAAGTGCCTTAGCCCATCTAACTACTGGAGAAAGAAAATCTTCCCAGGGAGAACTGTCTAAAGCGCTCATGTCAAGAACATTCCTCAAGGAGGTTAAACATCAGTGAAAATGAACTGAACAAAAAAAAATCCTCTGGTGAAATTTTGTTGTTGCTCTGGTTTTGTTGATTTCTCAGGATAAGCAAGGTTGGATTTGAGTAGTGCTTGATCAGAAGATCTTTCAGGTAGAACCTAGGGTGCCTTGGTAGTTTGTCTTCCAGTATCACTCTTACCAGGAAATGAAGGTGCTAGACTCCAGCCTTTCAAACTGGATCAAAAGGAAAAATATCAACTGTTTTGTGGTTGTTAATAAACATTTTATGAGAGACTAGAGATAGCAGTAGCACTTATAACTTAGCTGGAATTTCAACTAATGAGATGGGTTTTGTCTAGATTAGCTTTCAGTGCCAATTGCATATGGTATTCCTTGTTTTCTATTACCACAAATAAACATTTTTGTTAGAACATAAATGATTATAGTGGTATAATACCTAACCCAAACCCAGAAGAACTAAGGCTTTTGTCCTAGCAAGGGCACATGCTCCTGTGTGAAAAGCCACGAGGTTTTTATGCAGATTGACCTACCCCAGATTAAAATGTTTTAGTAAGGATTGTTTTTCCAGCCTATCCTTCCTCTGTAGAGTATTGCATTCAGGACACTTACTGATCTGCTAGCCTCCACTATACCCAGTGCATTCCCAGACACAGACATAGCAGCATGCACGAGTTTCAAGTTCTTGTTCTCCTGCCTGCACAATGTCTTTGTCCTCTGTATGCACACCCTACAGCTTCAGGAAAATAACTGGATTGTAGACCTAAGAACCTTCTGTTTAGTGACCCATGCTTCCCTGCCACAGACCCAAGAGTGTGAGCTTTGTAAAAAACTCTTAAAACATGTTCCAGAAATTCTACATTAGCAGTAAGGTTTAGTCTCAGCCATTCCGAAATAGTTATTTACAAGAAGAATGCAATGTTTGAGGACTTAAAACCAAATCTTCCTTTTCAAACAGCTGTACTCTTTCATCTGCAGATAGAAGTTTTGAAAGGCAAACTCTGTAAAGACACAATTTATCTTAAGATGCCTGCATTTTGTGTTTTTCAGGAATCTCACTACCTCCAGGCTAGTGACCTTAAGGGTCTGTCTAGAGGAAAAACCTGAAGAGTGGAAAAGTTGAGGTGAAGTACCACATCCATTTTTAAGTATTTACTGTTGTAGCAGCCAAGAATTTCTGAATTTGGTGAATTAATCCCCAAAACTCTGAACTTTAG